TGGTTTGGAGCAGGGACTTGAATTTGTGTTGCCTGTTTCCCTGGTGAGTGCCCTGGTGTCATGGAATTAAGTATTTTGAGGAGGGGCTTTTCTAGTCTCTCCTCTTTAAACTGTTCCACTTTATATAAATAAAATATTTATAAGAGCAGGGACATGAATTTAGGCATCCCAGAAGAGTTCTCATAACCACCAGCCTATGGAGTAGATTTGCTCTTCTTCTGAATTGAATAGTTAATTATTTTATACAAAATGGAACAGCTCCATGAGAAGAGACATGGAGCGCTCCTTAGTCCAGAGAAGCTGAGCCTTTGGTAGTCAAGATACTGACATGGGATGTGGGAGACCTTGAGTCAAGTCTTTGCTCAAATTGGGTAGCATGAGGAGTTGAAAATAGGTCTCCTGCATCCCCTAACTACTAAACTATTGGGCATTCTAGTATATCCACACCCTATCCAGCCACAAAAATTCCCCATCCTGCAGCTGGATGTCTTTTGTTCAAGGCACAGTTCAATAGGCATGCTCTGAAAATGCCTGTGAGATCTGGCCCTATCAGTAGGGAAATGTCTGGGTTTTGACTTAGGCATGAGGTAGGATGCCAAGTAGTTCAGCAGCATCAGGCTTTCTGCAATTTTGCACATGCCCAGAAGCAGGAACTTTGGTGCCATGAAACTTTGCTAGCAGGAAATCAGGCATGTGGGGATTTGGGTGCCTATTAGTTTATATGGCACCTAACTGGGTATTTTAAGGATCTCAGTGGAGCCTAAATGTTGTTGCCTTTGTGGGGTTCAGGCCATAAGAAGAAAGAAAGAAAGGAATAGCAACTTGCATAACAATACCCATGGGGAATATTTCAGCAAATATTTAGAGAGATTTTTAACTATCTTCCAGGGCTTTAGTAATATACTGCTGTAAGAAAGATGACCTCATTTTTGTGATGTTACTATGTATTAATGTAATGCTTCTTGGAAATAATATAGGAGCCTTCTAAGGATCATTAAACTTACTATTATAATCCCTTGATTCAATACAGACACACTGCTGTAACTCAAATGAATTCCTTCCTCAGGGACTGAAACAGTCTTGCACATGCAAAGGAAGCTGTGGGAGATAACTTCCCACATGTTATAAAAGGCATCCTGATTTTGCTGGCAGGAACAGGAACAGGAACAGGAACATCTGCTCTGTGTGAACATAAATGTTCCATGCAAATTACACACAGAGATAGGAGAAGGGGGACATGAGGGCTTTGCAAACCGCAGAGTGACATCATTTCTTGTAACTGTACTATGAGTCAGCACATTTTTAATCTTCTTGATAGTATATGGAAATCTGGTGAGATGGCAGAATAAGGTTTTGTGGGGGTGTGTATGTGTGACCTCACAACACTGATATTTTCTTTTTTTAAGAGAAGTACAGTAAATTGTACAATCTATGGAAGGGTAACTGGAAGCCCTTCAGTGCAGCTTTAGAAAGCAGCTTCCGTCTGTAGTAGAAGTGCATAGCAATGGAACCCCAAGTTCCTGGAAGTTTGCAAATCGGAGTAAACAAAGAAACTTGAAAACTCCTCTTGATAGCAGAATTCACCCGGCTCTGTTCCATTTTCTCATAACAAACACACCGCAAAATCTCTCACTAGCTTCTTTGATGAAGCCACATGTATTTCCCCCTTCTTAATTTACAGGAAGTTACTCTTAAAAGAAAGTGATTCTGGTGTTTACTGCCTGCATTAAAGGGCCAGGCGCCTTTTTCCTCTCCCTTCCTCCCCACCCCAGTTAACTATTGCAGTTACTGTTCAAATGAAAAAGAAAGTAGTATGAGCATAGAGATGGGGAGATATGTTTCATCGAAGAGATTAAATATATTAGGTCTATTCTTCAGAAAGAGAGAGTTCCTGCCTCAAAGAGATTCCAATCTAAAATTCAAATTGCTTACAGTCTAAGCCTGAATTTTACCCAATAACTTATTGTGAAACTCCGGTGTTCTTAAATGGCTTATACCATCAAGTAGCTGCTGAACTAATTCTTTCCACAAATAAGTAATCTTAAATCTAAAGGATAAATTTGAGTTCATTAGATTTTCATTAATTTTAATATTCTTATAACTTGGACAAATGACATCTTTACTTACTGCATTGGGGGGGGTTTGGGGGGGGGAGTTGTTTTTGTTTGTTTGATTTGGGTTTTTTTTGTTTGCTTTGTGCCTTGCACATGGTACCAACCAGTTTTAGATGCAATTTTTAAAAGAGTACATGCCTAACCATGTCTTTGAGAGGAAAAGTGACTTTCATTGACTGTCAGATGCTGGCCCCTTGCCAGGTTTTCAGTTATGGCAGGTGAAGTTCACCTTTGCCCCACCCAGTTTTTCCACAAAAGGACTACATTCCAAGTGTGAGCAAGTGTTACTTTAGGACTGTTGGAGGGTGGGGAGGGAGGATGTTTGCATAGTTTAAACCTTTGGGCGGAGGTGGTAGGAAACTGCAAGTACAGAGGCCAAAGAAAAAGCCGAGAAAAAAGACTGTTTGACGTAGCCTAACTAGTCAGTCTAACACAGGTGACTCAAAGCATTAATGCAAGCACACACTCAGAACTGAAGTCAACAGGATCCTGCACTTGTTGGATCATAGCAGCAGAAAAAGAACTCTGAGGTAGACTTACTTCAGAGAACTCTTCATGTTCTGTGGCTGTCATGTGTGCATATTAATAGAGTAACACATTGACTAAACAAACGGAAAAGGTAAGTAGGAGAGCGCATCTTATCTAGAGTGAGCTTTATTACTCTTATTGCTGAGAGTGCCTTACCTGGAAAGGGGACATCCATTTATGTCTTTATTTTGTTGGTGTCTGGTTGAATGTGGTTTTTTTTTAAATCTTATTTATAGTCTGTACTCTGTATGTACACAGGTGCACACTGTACTTACTCATGGCATTCTGTTCTCATCTAGATCTATTCCAGTGGTGAGCTTCACCACTTCATTGACGGATTTAATGAGGACAAGAGCAACTGGATGCGCTATGTGAACCCAGCCCATTCTGTTCAGGAACAGAATTTGGCAGCTTGTCAGAACAGAATGAACATTTATTTTTACACTATCAAGCCCATCCCTGCCAACCAAGAACTACTTGTGTGGTATTGTCGGGATTTTGCAGAGAGACTGCACTATCCTTCCTCCAGAGAGCTGATGATGAATCTCAGTAAGTAGATTACAGTACAAACAAAGAATGCTAGTAATGTCACTTCTGCCTATGGGATCTAATAATATGTTTTATAATTATATAGCTGAATTATCTGTTGTGTCACAGTATGTGGTCTGGAATAGAGAGAAGGAATTAGAAAAAGAGTTGCCTGTGCTGTTTAAATGCAAACAGATTATTTAAAATTTAAAGTTATTTGTTCATAATCTGAGAATTATCTGATTAAATCCTATACAGACAATTCCTCCCTTAAAAATAATTCACATTGCTGTATGCTGAGACTTTAGAGATTCCAGGTTTCATGGGTCTATTTAAAAAAAAATCTGCTTTGAAAGAGGATTTTTATTTAGGTTCCAAATGTACTGTCCTTAGTGTGCAAGGTGCTGGACTCAGGCCATATGCATGTCTTACAAACTGCATGTTGAACCAGGGGCACCAAAGGAGAAGGGCAAAGGGGGGGGGGGCAGTTGCCTCAGAGCCAGTTGATTTAAAAGGGCCAGGGGCTTCCAGACACGGCTGCCACTAGAGTTGAAATGGCATCAGCCCGGGGTCCGGGG